ATTTTTGGAGCGATGTTTGAGAAGTGATCATTAAATTTTTCTGCTACTGCTGCCGGAGTGCTGACTTGTCCGTTTTCGTCCGACAGTTTTATTGATGTAGGTTTAGCTGGTTTCCTATTCAGAAGACCGTTAATCATCTGCCACTGCTTCTTAGAATTATCTTTGTGCTGATCGAAGAATTTTTTGTAGTGTATGTTTTTGGCTTTGTCAACGTGTTTGGTGCAAAACTTTTTCAAACGGTCGTATTTTAGCTGGTTCCTATCAACTGGTTCCTTAACATAATCATGATATGCCTGATTTTTACGTTCTATAGCTTCTTCAAGCCAGGGCAGTATCCATGGTTTGGGATTAACACGTTCATTTTGTCTGCGCTCGGACTGTCTTTTGATTGGGTAGGCAGCGTTATAAATCCTGTTGTAAGCCGAATTTAAACAATCAAACTGCTGGTTAGCATCATGGGTATTTGTTTATCCGTACCATTTTACTGACACCACGGCATCAACTTTAACGCAATTTTCCGTAAAAACCGTAAAAGATATACAACTGAAACTTTTTTGACTGGGTCAAATGCTTTAATGGCCTCCAAATCAGCATGAAAAAATACAAAATTGGCCAAGGAATAGGAATTTTAAAAACGCTAATTAAATAGGTAATAATTATTTTAGTCTTTTGAGTCTTGACACCATTTTAGGGTTATACGGGTTCCTGCTAGTGGTCTTAATGTGGGGTTGCTAAGATAGATCGTTGGAGACGAGAACCCCGAGGTCTCTTAGTTGGCCTACAGGTGCGAGTGACTTGTCTTTTTATACTGAGTACTGGTACAGTTCACTAACAAAAGGAAGTTCGACGAGAGCACTGCGTCGATTGTGTCTGTGACACATATACTCAAACTTGTCTTTGTCATTTGTGTAGTGCCATATTATTTCGTTCAGACCATTTTATGACACTATTCAAGTTGTTTTGAAAAAATATTTACAATGCCGGTTAGTAACTGGATAATAATGGAGTACCCGCTACACATTTTTTGAAAGTCAAAAGACAAGTAGAAGTCGATGATCGACAAAAGAAAACCGCACTATACAAATTTGGAGTAAACGGCTTTTCGCAGAATTATTAAACGGTTTTTAACCGTTTAAAGTATTAAATTAATAAAAACACCGCCCGCATTCACAGTCAAAACTTAGTTGGATCTACAGTCAATCTTGTTGGGTCATTTCTCAAAACGAGATTGTATGCCAACACAAACGCACAAACTAACTGACAAACATGTATTATAGGGGGAAGCCAAGGGGTATTTTGGGGTATTATGGGGAATGCCTTAATGGATTTTGGAAATCCCCCATAATAAAGTCCCCCATAATACCCCAAAATACCCCGAAATTACCAAAAATTATTCTAGATATTCATTGTGGGCAACAGTTTATGTTTGAACACAAACCAGTTTCAGTCCATTTTTCAGTGGATGTTTTAGTTGAAATTGTATTCTGCTTAGATTATAAATTAGACCAGAAAAAAACATATTTTTAGACTAAACAGCCATATTTCAGAACTGTTGCTCTGCTCATGCTTATGACTTATAGTTATTAAATTATTATATTTCCCTTTATACTCATGGATCTGGTAACATTCCCGTCTAAAACATTTTGGCCCGGGGCCGGGTTTTAGACTTGGAATACCTCAAGGAACTGATCGGAAACAAATTTGGCTTGTGTAGAAATTTTAACAATGGAGTATGGTGCAGTTTTGCGCAATCGACCACGCTTTTTTTTTGCGCTTTTGCGACTTTAAAATCAAACTTTGGCCTCTGATTAGAGTCAAAAGCCACACTTGGGCATAAAGATGTCCAACATTATCACATTTAGGGGTGTACAGCATAATTTCAAAGTCCTATGACATTAGGACATTAGGACATTAGTTATGAGGCTGCACCTATTTGCGCTCTCGTGATAATACTAATAGCAATTATAGCACTTTATAATACAAGATATCTTGGCTTCTGAAGAAGCTAAATACTTAACTTGGACATTTAAATTTTCAAAATGATCACATTGAGTTGGGTAGAGCATAATGTCAAAGTTCTCAGTCATTAGTCATCGGATTACTCAGTTATTAATCCAAAACCCATTTTTACACTGTTGCGTGTTGCAACTACAGCACTTAAAATCAAAATAACTCGGTTTCTGATTGGAGTTAAGAGCTTGAATTGGGCAGTGAAATGATCATACTGAGTGGAGTAAAGCCTAGTTACAACATCCTCAGGCATCAGGCTGTTGAGTTAATAGACCAAAAGCTTGCAAATAGACCAAAAGCTTGCAAGTTTCACCATCTAGAAAAGCCAGTTTTTGTCAAAGCAGCAGCTCCAAGTTGACTTTTTCAATAATACAACGAGAGTAATCTCGCTGCTAGGGTAGGCGAGGCTATGACATTATTATGCTAATTCCCTTGGGCTCTTAGAAGGATAGAAAACCTCAGGAATTTTTCTTGCCTTCAAACCTTGGATTAGCCTAGAATACCAGATAATTTTGAACAATTTTGTGACTCTTATACGGTTCTTACAACCACGCTGAATATTTAACGCTAATTTTAGTGGATCTATCTGCATCTGGCGTCCTGGTGGATTTAATCGATCGCATTTACCTTTAAAACTATTGCATCATAGCGGAGCGGTATACACTATACATCCTCACGGCTCACAGAGTCACAGGCTACCACGTCTTGTGTAACCCAGGATTTGGTTTCGGATCGGACACTCAAAACAACGACAGTTGGAATGGCTGCAAGGTTTCCAAAACGTGGCCTGGAGAAAATCTGCAGGTTAATGTCGTCGCTGGTATGGTGATGACTGATGGAGAATCTTCCACATATGAAGTAGAATAAACATTAAACTGCTCCCTGTGACGCTGCAAAGACATCAGAGATCGTAGAAGGTCCCAAAAATGAATATCACACATTCCAGTAATCCTTGCGTTGAAAGCTTTGTACGCTTTCATGCTGCTGGATGTCACTTATCTTGGAGGGGTGCCATAACGGGCAACAAATCCCCCATAATAAAGTCCCCCATAATACCCCAAAGTACTCCAAAATACCCATTGGCTTCCCCCCTATTGTGTGTAATCAGTGTAGCTTGTGTTGCAAATATCGAGCTCTCTTATCTTTTGTAAATTTGCAATAAGTTCAGTTTGCTGTTACCGCGTAGTTTACCTTTGCGTGTGTACTTGTACATTACTATACAAGTACACTATGGCGGATGACTCAACTTTGACCCGATCCCAGGAGTTGATTAAGGAGTTCAGCTATGATCAACAGGAAGATGTGGAAGGCTGTGTTGCACGGTGATCCGATCAGTTAGAAAAAGACCTGCATATAGACTACCGTGAAATCGACTACGATAGTCGTGAAAAGATCAAGACTAAGGATAAACAGACTCTGTCTGGCTGGATTGTGGATGCAGTGGACCTTGTTCGTCGGCAGAGTAGTCAGATGTATCTCTTGAAGGAGATCATCGAGTGCTTCAAGACGGAAGCACTAGCAGACAAAGAAAAGGTGATCAGACTGCAGGGCCAGCTGCTGATGCAGAAGGACGAACAACTACAGTTGCTTAAGACGTCTGTTGAGGAGACAGTCCAAACAACGGTGGAGTCAGGGATTCAGAACTATAGTGCAGCTGTTCAACAGAACAGTGCAAGTGGTACGGTCTGCAACAGTAAAATCCTGAAGAAGGTGATGAAGAGTGTGGCTGCAGAGGAGGACAGGAGCAAGAACCTGATCGTGTTTGGGCTGAAAGAAGAGGAGGAAGAACAGCTTCCAGCGCTAGTTACCGCAGTTTTGGAGGAGATCGGGGAGAAACCTCACTTCGAAGCGACTAGAGTCGGTTGGAAGAGGCCAGGTAGTACGGCTATCCGACCAGTCAAGATCACCGTCCCAAGCTCAACAGCGGTTCATCAGATTCTGATGAAAACAGGGAGACTGAGGGAGACGCACAAAGATGTATGGATATGTCCAGACAGATCCAGCGAAGAACGAGCAACAAGGAAGCATCTGGTCACTGACCTGAAGAAGAAGAGGGCGGAACAGACTCATCTCGACCACTACATCCGGTACGGGAAGGTATGTAGCCGTGATAAGAAGTCATCATGAGTTACACTCTCGGACAATGATCAATATATGAAGGAGTGATGATTATTTTAAGAATTTTCAGACGTTATCTGTATTTAAGAGACAACTATATATTTTGAATATTTTATTATTTGATTGTTTCACACTTTTCATATTTCATAATTTTATTACTAGGTGGAGGTGATGTTATTGAGACTTTGGGCGGCCATAAAACTCCTGTTCTGAAAGTTGTCCTAGTCCTCTGTACTTGTTTCACTGACCCACGCTTTATCGCATTTATACATTTCGGCCCATTTTATATGTTTGTTCGACTTGCTGTACATTTGTATATTTGCTATTTTGTAAAAGTTTCAAATCAAATCATTATGTTTGCTCATTGATAATTATGTAAAGATAATAAAATCGTCACTTCATTGTCTTTCTGTTAGAGCCATGTACTGCCACCTAATTTTGTAGACAAAGAAATATCTAACTACGTACGGCTTGGAAGAGCTTTTAGCAGTGGATGTTATTAATTATTTAATTTTAATTAAACTACGACCATTGTGTAATCTAATTTTGTATATTTTTATACATTTACCTGATGCACATTATTATTTGCATTAATTTAGTTTATATTTTTATACATTTCCACGTTTCACTCGGAAATTAGTATTTTTAACTGTCCAGTTTTTAGTGGACAGTTTTTAGGCAAAATGCAAACTTCAATTTCATCCTAAAATTGTACTCACAAACTGCGGTTTAGTGGTCACCGAGTATTTTTGATCTCGAAACAGTCGCCAATTTACAATCAGTTGGCACACGACTCTATTCACATTTTTTAAATTATTCAAGTTATTTTGACCCAAAAGAAATGATCTATTAAGCAACATATATTCTCACAGGGGGAGGTGAAGAAGCAGCGAAACTGAGAGATACGCTAGTTGAGAGATGTCCGACCAGCTACACACATGATATGGACAGTATGTTACTGAGACGAGAGGGTGTTGGGGGGAACACGGACAACTCCTCTAAAGGTTACTTTAGATTTGTTTGGAGAGGCGAATCATAAATCAGTTAAGGCTCTTGAATTCTTCGAATAAAATATCATCTTTAGAGAACCTCCTCAAATTATTTGTTATATATAGTAGTGTTGAAAGTATTAAAACTTCTAAAGGTTGTTATTTTGATAGTATTTAAACCACAATTTACCGAGAAATTTGACTTATCTTAAATTCTTTTCAACAAAGTTAATTTTCTGATGTTAAGTAAAATAAAATCTAAGTTGTCTGGATGTATTCATCACCCCAGAAATTAAAGTCCTGTGAATATATTTCTTGAGACAAAGCCAAGGCCAAAGTTGATTAAGTTCAGAATTTTTGTCTCAATTTATAATTACAAAGGAAAACATTTATTAAAATGGTGCCCGTGTATTTTTGTTATTGTATCTCTGGACTATTATCTTTATTTAGACCTGATTCTAACTATAGAAACTACCTGTTTCCCAAATACACACTGTCTTATGTCATATTGATATTAATTGTAACTATGTAATATTTAGCTACTATTAGTAGGCAGTGAAACTAGCAGACTGTGATAAATGATGGGGACTAGCAACCCTTTAGCAACATATAATATTGACTCTGTTACATCGCTTCCTTGATAAATGTAACAGATAGGTCTTGTTGTAATTATGAATATACAGGGTGTTTCGAGACTCGTGTCCAAATTTAAAATTTTAATTTTTAATTTTATGAAGGAGCAAAATTAGATGCAATCGGTTTTAAAATGCTGGTTATACCTTACATTTTAGTTATCTCTCACAAATTCGTTTCAAAACTCATCTTTTCGCAAATTTGTATCCTTTCGAAATTTTCTTCGAAAAAATGTCAAAATCTGGCATATCAGACGAAATGAGAGTAGACATGGTCAAGCTTTTCTATGTCAACGGAAGTAGTTGGATTGCTGCTAGGAGGGCACTTTCAAAGAAATACGGTAATGCAGGCAGGAAAATTCATCTTAGGACTATTCAGCGACAAGTGACGAAATTTGAGAGAGAATTGACTCTCAGAAGGAAACCAACAGGTGGAGAATGAAGAAGAGAAGGCAGAGACGATAAGGACAGCAAATTACATTGCTATGTTGCGTGGAAAAGTAATCCCAGTACTTAAAAGGAAAAAAATACTTGATTCCTGTATATTCCAACAAGACGGGGCCCCTCCACACTGTTCGCACGAAAGTTTGGCTTGGCTGAAGGAGCATTTTGGGGAGAGACTGATATCGAGGAAAGCTGAGTTCAGCTGGCCTCCCTACAGTGGGGCTATCTGAAAGAACGTGTCTATTCAGACCCAGTCCCACAAACAGTAGATGAGCTAAAAAACAATATCAGAAGGGAGGCTAAAAAGTTAAAAATTGACATGGTAAAACGTGCAATAGACAATATGCTTCCGAGGGTTCAAAACCTTCTATGCAGAAAGGGGGCTTGGTTCGAAAAATTGTTAAAATATTAGATTTATTTTTGTTATGTATTTTAAAATGTAATAATTTGTCTACAATTTAAAACAAAAATTAGACCGTTTGTCTCATTTTTTAGATTATGAGAGCCATTCAAAATTTGGACACGAGTCTCGAAACACCCTGTATAAAATTCTAACTACAGCGGTTTAAGCTAAAACTTTCTTTTGTTTTGGTGTAAATAATAAATCCTGGACCAGCCTCCGCGTAACACAGTGTATTAGCTCCAGCTCCTCTCACCCAATCAGCGTCCAGTTAACCCACCAAACCTACCAATCAAAACCCAGCATTGTTCCTACCCTGTGCCATGTAGTAATTGACAGTAATTTGGTGGACGGTGAACGAACTACTTAATTCAGAGAGTAGACGGCTAGGTGTGATGTGTGACGGTTCCAATTAGTAATAATGTGTTTGTTAATGTCAGTATAAACAGCTTGTTTCGTAATTGCAGGATGAAATTATGGAATTAGCTGGTGATAAAGTTATGGAGCCCTGCCAATTATTGCTCAATTAGATCTTGTAGAGTATGTCGAGAATGAGGAGATATTTAAACCCTGGTGAAGTAATACTGGTCATTCAGAACGGTTCCGAAGACTCGGGCAATGGTCTAGAATAGCAATTAAATAAGCAGACATTCTCTCGCCATAACGTACCTAGATACCCACAACTGAGCAAAATGTACACTAATTTTATACAATAATAATTGTATACGGGAGAAAACTTCTGTACTGTTTAATTGTTGTACAAATGACATAATATTAGAGGATTATTACCATCAATAATAGTGTTAGGAACTCTGTGACGCCTCACTCCTCAGTGTTCTGCTATATTCCCTTTACAGAGTACCTACTAAGTTGAAAACTAGGTAATATACAAAGGTTTAAGGTACTTTGTAATAACTAACACTGCTGAGTATTAGTTATATCGCCACGATGTAGGTACTTTGTAATATTGGTTCAACTTTGTAATACTGGTACATTCCACAAGTAACTGGTACATTCCACAAGTAACTGATACATTCCACAAGTAACTGGTACATTCCACAAGTAACTGGTACATTCCACAAGTAACTGATACATTCCACAAGTAACTGGTACATTCCACAAGTAACTGGTACATTCCACAAGTAACTGATACATTCCACAAGTAACTGGTACATTCCACAAGTAACTGGTACATTCCACAAGTAACTGGTACATTCCACAAGTAACTGGTACATTCCACAAGTAACTGGTACATTCCACAAGTAACTGGTACATTCCACAAGTAACTGGTACATTCCACAAGTAACTGGTACATTCCACAAGTAACTGGTACATTCCACAAGTAACTGGTACATTCCACAAGTAACTGGTACATTCCACAAGTAACTGGTACATTCCACAAGTAACTGGTACATTCCACAAGTAACTGGTACATTCCACAACTACTACTACTACTACTATGTCGGAGCTAAGTCCGATCTACGCCAGAAAACCCCCTCCATATATCCCTGTCCCGCATCAGGGTTCGCAGTTCCTCTTTAGAGTTTGTCCCAACTTCCTTCAGTAACATAGACAAGTAGCTTTGTCTTGGTCGGCCTTGCTGTGCTCTACCGTGCTTAGGTTCCCATAAGACTAAATCACTGGCAAGTAGCTCAGGATGTCGGATGCAGTGTCCCGCCATTTTTAATCTCCTGCTTCGTAACTTGTTTGACAGCCTTGGGAGCCTACCATACAAAGTTATATTGCTGACCTTGTCCTTCCATGAGATACCCAGCACCATACGCAACATCTTTGTGTATGTCCCGTCCAAACTTTTCTCTTGAGCCTTTGTCAGTGTCCAGGTTTCTGATCCGTAGAGCAGTACTGATTCACAAGCCGCTATGAACAATCTAATCTTGAGGCTCTTTGAGAGTTTGGATTTCCAGATATCCTTCAGTCTATGTAGGGCACCCCACGCTTTTCCCTTTCTAACCCTTATCTCCCTATCTGTGCTCTCAATCCAGGAGCCTAAGTAGATGAAATCATCTACATTTTCTATGGCTTCCCCGGATCGACTTTGTAGGTCGCTAGATCGATCCTCCATATTCAGTGTCATGACCTTGGTCTTGCCTTCGTTTATGTGTAGTCCCACGCTTGCTGCCGCCGATTCTACTCTGAGCAGGAACTCGTTAGCCTTGTCCATGTCCTCAGATATAAGTGCTATATCATCTGCAAAGTCCACATCGGTGATGATCTTGGGCCCCACTCTTCTGCTTTTTCTACGTTCGAGGGTGAGTCCAAGTCGCTCCGCATCATCGCCTATGGCTTGCCTCATACAGTAGTCGATGACTATTGCAAAGAGGTAAGGTGCTAAGGTATCGCCCTGTAACACACCTGCAAGTATCTCGAACAATTCAGTTTCTCCGTCTGGAGTTAGGACTTTGGCCATTGTCTTCTCGTACATGAGCCGTAAAAGCTGCACGATTTTGACTGGAATGCCGTAAGCTTCTAGAATCTTTAGCATTTTCCCACGATGTACACTGTCGAAAGCCTTCTTAAAGTCTATAAATGTCAGAACAGCTGGCAGTTTCCGACTCTTGACACCCTCTATAAGACGTCTCAGTACCAATATCTGTCGAGTTGTTGACCTTCCTGGTCTGAATCCATTCTGGTTTCTACGCAGAATTGTCTCGATTTTTGGCTTCAACCGGTTTAGAACCATCTTGTTTAGAGACTTGGCAACTAGGGATGACAAGCTTATTCCCCGATAGTTCATTGGTTCGCTAAGGTCGCCCTTCTTTGGAATTGGTATGATGTTGGCAGTTGACCATTGGTCTGGTTTCTCACCTTTCAATAGAGCATTGTTACAGAAGTCTAAGACAATTTGATCAAGGTCGCATCGTTTTAAGACTTCTGGGGCTATGTTGTCGTCACCCCATGCTTTCCCTTCCTTTATGCTGGACTTTGCTTTCCTGTACTCATCCAACGTAAACGGTTCTGTTCCGATATTCAGAGGTGGGTGGACTGAATCAATATCCTCTTCCGATTTCTCTACCGTCGGTGGTGAGCCGAGAAGAGTAGCAAAATTACAAAATAGTCCTTCCATTTCTGAACCCTTTCCGTTGGTGAGTTTCCCTTGATTTTGCCTGTTGCCAGTATATGATGGAGCTTTACCTGTGATCTTGTTGATCATGGTCCAGCTTTTAGCATGTCTGCCCTGCCAACTTGCTTCCTCCAGTTCCCGGACCTGCCCCTCCAGCAGGTGCTCTTTGGCTGCTTGATAAGCATCGCCTAGCTTCTGTTTGCCCTCTTGAACAGCTATTCGGTTGTCTTCTGTAGCATCTGAGTGGTATTTTATGCTACATTCCCTCAGCTTCAGCCTGGCAATCTCAACACTTGGAGTCGCATTCCACAAGTAATTGGTACATTCCACAAGTAACTGGTACATTCCACAAGTAACTGGTACATTCCACAGGAGTGTGCTCTGGACCTACAAGAGAAGTTAACGGTACCTGTCTTCTTCTCTGCAGCTGGGACGCCTTCCCTCCTGTCTCCCAAACAGGTACTGTAATAACTTCTGATACTAAACACACGTGTACACACGTGCACTATAATGGTACTGGTACTTAACACACGTGTACACACGTGTACTGTAATGGTACTGGTAATAAACACACGTGTACACACGTGCACTGTAATGGTACTGGTACTAAACACACGTGTACACACGTGTACTGTAATGGTACTGGTAGTAAACACACGTGCACTGTAATGGTACTGGTACTAAACACACGTGCACTGTAATGGTACTGGTACTAAACACACGTGTACACACGTGCACTGTAATGGTACTGGTACTTAACACACGTGTACACACGTGTACTGTAATGGTACTGGTACTAAACACACGTGCACTGTAATGGTACTGGTACTAAACACACGTGTACACACGTACACTGTAATGGTACTGGTAATGAACACACGTGTACACACGTGCACTGTAATGGTACTGGTACTAAACACACGTGTACACACGTGCACTGTAATGGTACTGGTACTTAACACACGTGTAGTGTGTACACACGTGCACTGTAATGGTACTGGTACTTAACACACGTGTACACACGTGTACTGTAATGGTACTGGTACTTAACACACGTGTACACACGTGTACTGTAATGGTACTGGTACTAAACACACGTGCACTGTAATGGTACTGGTACTAAACACACGTGCACTGTAATGGTACTGGTACTAAACACACGTGTACACACGTGCACTGTAATGGTACTGGTACTAAACACACGTGCACTGTAATGGTACTGGTACTTAACACACGTGTACACACGTGCACTGTAATGGTACTGGTACTAAACACACGTGTACACACGTGCACTGTGATGGTACTGGTACTAAACACACGTGCACTGTAATGGTACTGGTACTAAACACACGTGTACACACGTGCACTGTAATGATACTGGTACTAAACACACGTGCACTGTAATGGTACTGGTACTAAACACACGTGTATACACGTGCACTGTAATGGTACTGGTACTAAACACACGTGTACACACGTGCAATGTAATGGTACTGGTACTAAACACACGTGTATATGGTACTGCCAATCCTTTGCACCTATTGTTACGGCTCGCTCTGTTGTACGATCTCACGGTCCAGTATAGTTCATCAAGCTACAAATATTACTGTCACACACTGCATTTGGTGCCATACAACTTTCATTGACTCCTGTTATTAAAACACTGATTTAAGCATTAAGCAAGATTTTAAGACCCCATTATTACAGCGAACAGTATAGTGATGGGAGTAGCTCTAGCAGTCAGCACACTCTCCTGTGGTATTATCCTTATCAGCTACATGCAGATAACTGTTATGTAAGTACTTTTTACTATCTATCACACAAACATGCAGATAACTGTTATGTAAGTACTTTTTACAATCTATCACACAAATCTTTTGTACCAGCAATATTTTTAGCCCTAAATTAATTCAACTGTGTATCCATAATATATCATGTTTCATGTTAAATTCACTATAATTTCAAAAACGTTTCCTATTTTTGCTATAATTTATCTGATGTAAATGATGATATAAAGAATGGTTGGTTTAGCTTTTGTTACTTTCTTTAGCCATTAGCAATTAGCAGGCCTAATAATGTAGTAATAATCAGGGTTGTGAAATACGTGTTTTACGTTTTTTTGAATTGGAGCGTTTTCACGTTTTTTTAACAGGTTTTTGCGTATTTATTTTAAAAACGTTGTGATTTATACGGAAATTTACAATGTTTTGACGGTCACCGACTACCAGTAAACGAACCAGCGAAGTACGAACACCATGAGGCCTGGGCCACAATCACATAAGCAAATTGCAGTCTTCAGTGACGAGAGGATAAGCGACCTTACCCTTCTCAGTCACGAAAAGGAGCTTGTCAAAGCTATAGAGATTGCTGTCATTATTGACAAGTTTGCTGAGAGTAACCGCAGAGTTGTGTTGAATTGAACAGTCTCAGTGTCAATTATGTTTTAATTGTTATTAAAATATTTTTACCTTTATTTTCACATTATGTTTTATTAAACTCTTCAAGTTAATTCAGACACTTTCTGGTAAGGTTATTAGCTTCTAAAGACGCAGAATTTTCAGGGGGGCATCGCCATTCGCCCCACTAGACCCCCCTCAGAAAGGGGGCTGCGCCCCCAGACCCCTGCTGCAGCGCCTTCGCACCAAGTTGCACCCCCCCCCAGAATAATCGGCTGGAGCCATGCCTGGTCAACACAACTGGCAAGTTTGATTGGTCATACCGCTACATTTTGAATTTTCACGTGAGTCTGCTTGATTAGATTATATGCGAACGTTTTTTCTCGTTTTTTTCTCGTTTTTTGAAAAAAATAGAAAAAAGCACGTTTTGAACGTTTTTTGAGTTTACCATTTACGTTTTTCACAACCCTGGTAATAATAACATAGTATCATAACATAATGATACGTCATGCTTAAAACAGGTCTAATGTTATTGGTGAGAATATAGTTATTCTTTAAGCTGATTTTATTTTGGCTTATTTATTTGTCAATTTCCAGCTTATAACTACTAGATTATTTTAGTATGTACGTAGAAATTAAACCCAAACATTTTAAAAGAACGCGCTCAATTTCAATTATTTCGAATTTCGTTGCATATAATTCACAATTATTTTTCAAAAACAAATTCAACAACAATAAATCAAAAGTTAAGCATGATAAAATGGCTACTCTATCAACTACTCTTTCATTACACATATCGCCGTGTGAGCTGATAAGTTTAAAGGCTAAATTATAGCTTAATGTTGATTCATAGCTTTTTTAAATTAGAGAGACCAAATTTTAACAGTAAATTTAGGTAAATAACATGATTGATAAACAAATACAGATGTTCCGTAGAAACACATTTTCAGTTGTTATCACAATCAGATGATTAGTCCATTGGGGAAACAGTTTTATCGAAATATCAGTTACAATCTCAAGCTTAGGGTTCATTTCCCCAAAGTTCATCAACGCAGGGCCCCTTGGATTCATCCCATTCTTTGGTTGCTAGACCTGCTAAAATTCGCTCCTGTTTCTCAGGTACATCTTTCCCGGTTGCTGCCATTTCAATAGAACTGTTTTCTGCAGCTAATTTAGAAAGCCAATCAGGAACATTCTGTTGGGCTTTTGCTAACATTCTTATGAGTGGCACAGCTAGATGAGCATCTTTATCTTCCCTGAAGAATGAAATTGATTCTCCTTCTTTTTCGGCCCGGCCAGTTCGCCCGATTCTGTGTATGTATTCCTCAAACTGATTTCGGACTGGTCTCCTCTTAATCTTTCCATCTTTCAAAGCTTGTGTGTCGATGTCATGGTACTTTTTAAGGTCGCTAAGGTTCAGAGGAAAGTCGGCGTTGATTACATAAGTTACTCCTTCTATATCGAGCCCTCTTGCTGCCACATTTGTTGCCACTAGAATAGGGTAAACTCCTCTATCGAATAAAGACAAAGCTTGTTCACGCTCAGGCTGGTTTTGATTGGCATGAAAACTAATTGCTCCATAATTATCGATCAGATCTTGATCATCACCATCGGTGTACAAATGTTTAAACTTTTGCTTTGTCATGAAACGAGCTTTAAAGTTGCTTCTAAGATGATTTGAAATAGAGTCTGCAAGTTCCTTGGCTTTAAGTTTCGTCGCAACGAAGATGAGAATCTTCTCTTTGGCACATTTGCCTAGGACATGCAATAAGAAGTGCTTTATGTTTGGCTGATCACTAACTGTAGTTGTGTTGAATCCATTCCGCTCCTTCTTCCAGCAACTGCATTTGAGGAAAGTTGTCTCGTTCCAGGCATGAAGATCCATAAGTATTTCCTTTAGCATACTTTCTATTTGTTGTTGTTGTTGTTGTTCATCTTCAGCTTCTTTCACCAATTCAAAATTCTGAGTTATGTTTGGTTGCGCAGAACCAATATCATTCGCCTTGATCAACCTGAAATCATCTCTCATAGTGGTAAAAGCTAACTCTAACAGATCTGATCTGAAAGTTGCACTAAACAAAACAGTTTGTCGTGCTTCCTTTTTTGGCATATCAGTAAGTCCAACAATCGCCTCCAGATCAGCCCGAAACCCATCGTCAATCATCCTATCCGCCTCATCTAGAACAAGGAACTTTGTATTCTCCAAGCTTATAGTGTGGTCGGTGATGAAATGTTTTATTCTACCCGGAGTTCCAATTAATATGTTGCAGCCCTGTCTTACTTCGTCACGTTGTGTACCCGTTACTGATCCCCCATTCAACACCTTGATCCCACAAGAGGGTCTCATATTCAACGTGAGCTTGATTGCATCAGCGTGAATCTGTTGGGCTAATTCACGAGTAGGAGCGATTATCAGAACTTCTGGCTTCTGAGGTTCATCCCATCCTACCCTTTTCTTTTTGAAGCCTTTGTCTTTTACAAACTTTATCATTGGAATAAGGTATGCTGCAGTCTTTCCTGTTCCTGTTTGAGCACAACCCATTACATCAAATCCTTCGATAATAATGGGTAAGGCGTATCGTTGGATCGGGGTGGGCACTTTGAAGCCACACTGAGTCTTACCGACAATGTTTAATTGCACCTGTTTATCGAGATTGAGTTCGCCGAATTCTTTAATTGGCTCGGTTTTGGGTAAAACTTTTACCAGTTTGAAACACGAGCATTCTTTACGTTTGCCATAAATTTCTGCCTCTCCAATCCCGTCCATTTTCTGTTGAGTTTGACGAGTCTTGCAGTCTTCGCACATAGGACTTAGCGTTGTGACTGGCACACGAACGAATGTATGGTGTTCAAAATTTATCTTCGCTTTGCTTCGGTCGGTTTCGTAGCTGTTCATTGTTTTAACTACCAACAAACATTCTTCAAGAGAATGACCTTTTTGATCGCATTGTTCACATCGTTGGTATTTTCTTGATGATTTTCTCGATGATCTCGATGATTGTGGTACCGGCAACGTCTCTTCTGGAGGAATCCTGTCTTTTTCTCCATAACGATTTGACATATTTACTCGACGCCTATAGTTTTATATAACTACCTGTAAGTTGGTTGGTTATTGATCGGTTATTAATTCGTGACATTTACATAGTATAACTATTGTATGCTGTTTGATCACGTGACTTGACGTAGTATAGGCACGTTATTGTAAAATACCACACCTTTTTGCATTAGTTATGTATATCAACCATTACGAGAGGTGGTACAGCGAAAGAAAATACATCGATGAAGGCGCATATACAAAGATACAAAAGCTGAAATAAAAAGGACGGAGAATAGATATTCGAGAAGGCCCCACGAGGGGTAAGTGACTCGTCTAGTTCACGAATATATAATATATCTTTTGCAAGAAATAACTAAATTGTAAGACCTAACAAGCATTCCCAAACCGATTTCATTTGATTTGCTCCTTCATGAAATAGAAGAATTATAATTTCAAATTTGGACACGAGTCTTGAAACACCCTGTATATATTATATACCTTGAACTTATATATATATTATGTACCTTATAAAACTTGAAGCAATGCTTCATAACCCTCGAAAGGACAACTTCAAGAACACACCGCAGTGTCGACTCATCAACCCCGCAAAGAACGAACTAGGTAAGATCAGCAAGCAGATACTGGAACAAACCATCACCAGACTGCTGGAGAGCTGGAGGCCACCAACACAAACCTCAACCTCTGGAAAAATGCCAAGGAGGTCCTGAAATGGTTTCACGGGATGAACAAGGAAACAAAGACCAAGTTCGTGAAGTTTGACGTAGTTGAGTTCTGCCCCTCAATAACGGAAGACCTGCTCGGCAAAGCTATACAGATCGCCAAGCAGACCACCGAACTCAGCCCCAGTCCCCACGGATATTGCCATTATAAAAGTATAAAGCACATACAAAATGTGCTACTCTTCCATAATGGAGATGTTTAGGAAAAGAAAAATGTTGACGTCACTAAGCTATGGGATCATACGACGGCGTTGAAACAGCAAACTAGTCGGCCTACACATGTTGAACAAGGAACTGAAACCGAGGGGTTCCGTTCAGGCCCTTCACACTTTGTTTCTGTCTAGTTCTAATGTACCGTCACAATAGTGACTTTAATATATGATACAAAGAAAACTCCATTTACGGACGTGAGGAGAGTTAGGACTTCTCAATAACTACATTAAGTACATTCCCTCTGTATCATCCTCAATAAATGTAATAGATTTGTAGTGTTGTACTTAGTTGAAAACTCAACCATCTCCAGCAGTATATTCCAGCCAACCAAATTGGTCTGTACAGAGACGACGGCCTAGCAATCATTCCACAAGCCAACGGACCGAAACTAGACCGAAATCCGAATCCGGAAAAAGATCACGGCTATATTCAAGGAGTAAGGACTACAGATCACAATAGAAACCAACCTCGTTGAAGTCAACTTCCTAGATGTGACACTTAACCTCAGCAGTGGGAAATACTTCACCTTCCGAAAGGCAAATGACACACCGCTATATATCACCAAGCAGTCAGACCTCCCACCAACCATCATAAACCAGCTCCCTAAAATGATGAACCGGCGACTAGCGGACATCTCCTGCAATAAAGTAGAGTTTGACAAAGCGAAAGGGGTCACGTAACAGCACTAATTCGCCAAATATAAACTGAGTACAATACTGGGGGGGGGGGGGGGGGGGGGGGGGGGCCAATACTTTGTAAAATAAGAGAAATTTTGGCATAAGTTATGTCTATCAACTATTACGAGAAGTGGCACAATCCAGCGAAAGAAAATACATCGATGAAGGTGCAAATTATACAAAAGCTGAAATAAAAAGGACGGAAATTAGATAGTCTAGAAGGAGTCGTAAGATGATAATATTCAACTTGTTTTATATTATATATATATATATTTAATATTTATTTATGTAAAGATGTAATTTGAGACGATATAATTTTTGCAAAATTTATATAATCAAATCACAAAGTAGTAAATACGGATAAAAGAGAATAATGTACAAGACAGGGAAACACAATATAAATCTATACGGATAAAATACAATAATGTACAAGACAGAGGAACACATTATAAATTATTTATTATACAAACTTACATAGATTAGTAAAAGGAATCCCGGTTAATGAAGACATTTACATAACAAATGACAATACAACATGCAAAAATACTGGTAAGTAACGTATACTCGAATACTACCAAAGTGATCTGTGCTGTGCTTTGTAGAAGAGCCGCGCTGCACACTACCAGCGCTTCTGCCAGCCAAACGGGAATTCGGACAAAGCTTACAGTATTGTGTTACGAAGTTAACCTTGGAATGTTATAGCAGCATATAATCATCTTATAAGGTCACCTTATAAGATGATTATATGTCAGCGAGTTCTACTGTCAGTTGTCCAAAGGAAGAAATGGGAGTATCATCGCATGGGCATTGATATGTCTAGTGCGTTTGACACGATCAAACGCACTACGATTCTTGAACTCTTGAAACTGTGTGGCTGTACTGAGGATGAACTGAGGATTGTCCGGTTGTTGTTGTCCAACACAAAGCTACGGGTGAAGGTAAATGGAGTTCTTTCAGCTGAGTTTTTAAGTCTCCTTGGAGCTTTCCAAGGTGACTGTCTATCCGGCTGTCTGTTCACCCTTGTCTTGGCTGGTGCTTTGAATGAACTTAGATGGACTATAACAATCAGTTTAGATAGGCCGATCCCCCCGGTTACTATTGCTGGCCTTCCACTTGACACTGAATATGCTGATGATGTTGACTTCAATGATGAAGAGGAAGACAACTTGAGAGCTATTTTGCCCCAGGCAACAGCTATACTCGAGAAATGGAACCTCTTTGTCAATGAAGACAAAACGGACTTCACTCATGTTTATTTAGCTAGTACGGGTGAAGTCGACAGTGATGGAAAATTAGTGTCGGGGGATGAAGCATGGAGGAAAAGTATCACTCTAGGGTCCGTCTTGTGTAGCAAAGCTGATATTCAGCGTCGCATAAACCTGGGATATGCTGCCTTTAACAATTACAAGAAGGCCTGGAGTGATAAACTGCCCCTAAACAAACGTCTAATACTGTATAATGCTTTAGTCGTATCAGTTCTTATGTACAACTCATCCTGTTGGGCCGTCCCCAAAATATTCCTTGAAAAACTAGATGTTGTTCACCGCAGACATCTTCGCACTATTTTGAATATAAAGTACCCAGGAGTCATCTCCAACAAAAAACTTGTATAAACGCTGCAATGCTGAACCATTGTCAGACAAAGTGGCCCGTAGTCGGTGGAGATTGTTAGGACATGTTTTGCGGGGTCCTATTGACGGACCAGCGTTTTCTTCCCTCATTTTTGCCATCAATACACTGGACTTACCAGGGAGAAGAGGAAGACCCCAAAGCAATCTATTCTCGCTGATTGTGCATGATTTATGTAAAAGAAATCTTTATTTGAATAATATCTTTGACCTGCATTATCTCCGTAATTTGAGTTATGACAAGAGATAATGGCGGAAATTGCAATGAAGTTTTTAATTTTTAGTTTTTGTTTTAGGGAAAGATTAGACTTGGGCGTTGTTTTTTAACTATCCCTTGTTTAGAACTTTGATTTAATAATAAGGTCACCTAACCCTAACATGAAATGATAAGAAATTAAGAACAAAACTTTAAGCGTCTCAATTAACGTTTGTTAAACATAACTTTATTATGTATTCATTATATTATTCGTAATTATATGACGTTATTAGGTTTTCTTTCTCCGCACGGAGAAATATTTTTGATATGACCCAAAACTCCGTGAAAGCAGTTTTAACCTGGGCGCTCGCGTGGGACATTTCATTATAATGCGCCCACGTGCGCGCGCAAATCTGCGTGCAAATACCAACCGTGGAAACGTACATTGTAAACAAAACTGCTTTCGCGGAGTTTTGCTTTTCAAAACTCATTGCGCGGAGTTTTGTGTCAAATCTGGTCGCAAAACTGAGCCGTGGAACTGGGCTGTAAGGGGAGCAAATTGGATCACCAACGATATAACCAACTGAAACTGAAAAATGAAAAGCAGACTTCCTATCCTTTGTTCAGATTGCAGAGCAGCGCGTACATAGTACATATTATAGCATAATAGCATATATAGCATAATGTCAGCTACTTTGCTAGCCGAACAGAGATTCTTACAACGCTCAGCTTATAGAAATGTGAGGGGGAGTTATCCTAACAGGTTATGTGAACATAACGTATCATAACTGTAAGAAATTAACAACAGCAGTTCTTTATTCAATAAGCTACTTAAATAACTTAATTACAGCACAGTTACAGCATAGTATTAACTTTACAAATGAGTTGTTTACATACTCTCGCACACTGATTCATGTGTGATACAGTAACATTCCTCTACAAACTGTAAAACAACGGAATAGAATAATATCTTCGGAATATTCCTAATACTTAATTTAATCTACTCAGTTACTATAGTTACAGATACTATACTTTACCATAGTTACAGATACTTAGTTACTATAGTTACCTGGATGTAAAATATCTGTGTATCTCAAGCTAATATTCCTGCAATCAATGACCAGGGATGTAGTCACATGATACATGTACAGTAAGGTAAGTGCCGACTTATTGGTCTGAATTGAACTTTGAGTACTTGAGTACACCGATTGATTCTATTAATGGTAACTGTGTTGTGACATGTCATCGCAAGACCGGATGTGTTAATGTAGGGCGTAGGCAGGTGTTAACTGTTGACCTTGTTAAAGCTCCAGATCAATGTCGCATAGGACCTCACTACCAAAAGTGTGGAA